CTGCTGCTCTGCTGGCAGGAGAAATTGGACTGACCCTGGGATGTAACATGTCCTGTTGCTGGAGCATGACAAGCCCGTAACAGGCAGGGCTGAGTCTCCTCGGGTGTCCTGCCTATTGCTAGGGCTGGATTAGGGCTCTCCAGCCAAGAAAATGTCTTTCCTTCTTCCTTTTCTGTCGTCTTATAAGGATTTTTAGGAATTTAAGATGCTAAGCCTCAATTAGGCAACACTTATTAATTTCCGAGATGTAATTTATTTACAGAGTGTTGCCATTCACAGCAGTGAGTGCTGGTAATTGCTGTAGTTTGCTTTCCAGGCTGGGATGTGAGAGACTTGAAAAGCCTGTGAGGGTGGCTGCCAGGCAGGCAGGGCTGGCTCTGGGTGGATCCTGCCTTCTGGGGATATGAGGAGCTGATGGAGGAGCTGACTGTCACCCAGACAGCCCAGTTTTCTCAAAGCAGTCCCTGTCCTAGGGCGTGGGAACAGGCCAAGGGGCAGGAATGCCATCCTCACTCCATGGCTGTGTTAACCCAACCGTCCCACGGTGCCTTTTGCTGTCTCTGCCCTTTGTTTCATTTGCCCCAGCAGGATATGGGTGTCCTCATCCTGCTCCAGAGCTGCTGCCAAGGCTGAACAAGCCACCTCACTGTAGATCTGAGGGCAGAGAGCTGCAGAAAATCAATGAGGCCAAAGAAAATTAGGTGCTCCATGCTTGTCCTTCAAGCCAGCAGGACCAGGGATGGTGTCTTTGCAGCGTGATGGCTCAAGGCTGTTTTTTTGCCTTCTCTCCCTGGCAGAGGCTGTTGCCTGGAGCTGCAGAGATGCTGTACTGAAGCTCTGCTGACACGTAGCCCTGTGACCAATTCCTCTGAAGTTGGCTGAGCTGTTTACCTGTGAGACATCAGCTCCTCCAAGATGAGCTGGGCTGAGGGGCAGAGCTGCCCTCCAGCCCCATACTCGGAGAGTGTCCAAATAGGACAGGGAGACTTCAATTCCTGCAGCCTCTATCTGATTTTATCTCCATTTCTGTGGCTGCTGGGGCTGGGTTGAGGGAGGAGATCAGCCTCCTGTGTTTTGAGGATGGAGAAGCTCTCCTTTCTCCTGTTCATGAACCAGTGGGCTGTGTCTTGCCAGCAACATCTTTAGGAGAATCTCCCTGATGGCTCTTTGGGGGAAAGAAGTTGGACATTTATCAAAGTACCTAATCTCATCCAGTGTCAAACCACTGCCTTCACCTTTTTATGTTTCCCAAGGACCATTGGAAAACGGGGAAATAGAACTGTTCCCCTTCCCCTCACGTAGGGCTGGGATTTACTGGAAGTGAGTGTGTTTGTGTAGGATCTATGCTGAGGTCTTGGTCTTGGTTTGGCTCCAGAGGCACTGCTGAAACCCTTGTGTTCCATGCAGACTTGGACAAATTATTGCAAAACAGCCCAGTTGTATCCTCTGGCAGCCTCGTCCCTGGTCAGACCCCGCTGAGCCTGCCAATGCAGCAGTTGTTGTACACGGTGGATTTTGCCATCCACCATCATCTCCAGTTGAGTCTCATCTATAGTTCCTGTTTGTGGGCACGGGAAGTGTTCTGTGCTCCCAGGAGCGGGTGGTGAGTGGTGCTGGGATCGATTATCCATCTGGCATGCTGCTGGGCCATTTGTTACAGAGGATCTTGCAGGAAGAGCCTCTGATGCTACAGTGAACTCTGTGCCGTGGGGACAGTTGGGATAATTCCTGGGAGCTCGTGCGGGCAAATCCTGGCTTCTCAAATGCCTAAAACCAGTGAGTTTGGACCATTGCCTGCCTGCTGTGATGATCCTCTTTAATATCCTGGTCCAAGTATCCATGGAGAAGCGTGACCTGCTTCTTTCCAGGCTGAGCGTGCCAGGACGCTGCCGAAGGGTTTCTGGTTTTGTTTCTTGAGCCTGAGCTCTTCCTTGTGCACTTGGTGATGCCTCGTGATGTGGTGAGCAGGGGCTGCAGGGAGCATGTCTCCTCTCTCCATGGCTGACCTGCAGAGCAGGAATCTGGCCCTGGAGCATCCCCTGCCCTTTGTAGGGCAGACGCTGAGCTGGGCAGCTCCTGAACATGAAATGCAAATGAAATGGAAAGCTGAGAGGCAAAGGGGCTGCTGATTCCTTCACTGCTGGGCTCTGCTGCCTGCAGGAGAACAGTGTTCTGGCCGTTGCTTGTGTTCTCCTTCCCTGATTAGCCTGGGCAAGGCTAAAGGAAGGCAATGTCCTCAGCTTGTGCTGAGATCTTGTTATGCACTTCCATGAAGCCAAAGGGGAGAAGGGAGCAGCTCAAGCCTCCTGGAGCTGAGGCACTGTGGAGTTGTACAGCACCATACCCCTACCAGCCCTGGGGAAGGCTTGAGTGGGCTGAAGGAGGGTTACCCAGTCACAAGGAAAAGGGTTAATGACTTGGAGCCAGAGTCCTGGCTTTCTTCCAGCTCCTGCACCATTCAGGTGGCTGAGGAGCAAGGGCTGTGGGTGCAGATGAGTTGGAGGGGGAGAGCAGGTTGGACACCAGGGTTAGCAGGTGGGTGGAGAGCAGAGTGTTTGCCTCTTTCTCCTTTTTCTCCCTGGTCTGAGCTGTTTTCTGTGTGCACGAGCAAAGCAGAGCATGGTCTCCTGAGAATTATGGCAGTGGGGGGGGTGAAGGTGGGTGCTCCTATGGGCCAAGGGGCAACAGGGATAAATTCCTGTGCTCCCAAGCTCCAGGGTCCTTTTCAGAGAGCCTTGGAGATGGCTGGATAAGGTCTGTATTATCCTGTGATCTACTCAGCACTCCCTCTACACCACCCCTGCTCTGCAGGTCTGTACAGTCCCAACCCCACCTGATCCCACAGCCTTCAGCTGAGTTATGTCCTGACCTCAGACCCTGCTGGGTCTCCTGGCCCCGAGAACTGCTTTTGGGCTGTAGGATCCTCTGGAGTTATACAGGAGTAACCTCAGCTAGGAGCTGGTTCCTGGCTGGGGCTGAGGGTCCTGCTACCTGTTCCAGCAAGGGGATATTTCCCTGGGAAAGGGCTGATCATGGACCACAGTTTTGCTGCTCAGTACCACAGTGGTTTGTAGCCCAGCTTTAAATGTGGGTTGCTAATGAAAGGCTCTTCTGCAGCCCATTGCATTTTGCTGGTGCTGTTTAAGTGGCTTTTAAACCCTCTGACCTCTGTGTTCTTCAGCAGCCTAAGACATGTGTCTAGTAAACCCCTGAAATGGAGTCGGGCTCTTAGGATAACAGGGAATTGTGAGGTTGGAATGGACTGAAATGAGAGAAGCAAGGGAGCTCATTCCTCACGGTGGGATTCTTTCCCCAGGGAGTTGGGCTGGTGGGATCTCTTGGTTTGGCTAATGAGTGAGGGCCGGGGTGGGAATAATTAGTGTTTTACAGCTGCTTCCCCGTGGCCTTATCCTGTGGTTAGTCCTTGGGGATATCAGTCTGATCAGAAATGATTGTGACTGCCCAGAAACCATTGGCACTGGCTGTGCCATGAGGACAAGTCCATCACTTCTGCTGTGGGGCATATGGGTGCATGGGGAAGCAGATTCCACGTGCTGCCTGGCCACCTCCCTCCACCTTGTGCTGGGAGACCAGAAGGGGTGTGAGGCTGGAGACCTGTTCACTCCCCAGCAGACCAATGGGGATCTCCTGGGGTCTCCCCAGCAAACATTCCTGGCCTCCAGCCCTCGGCATCATGAGGACAGCCAAGGCAGACCCTTCCCCAGGCACATCCCTGGTAGCAGCCAAGGCACAGCCCTAGACATCCCTTTCTCCTCCATACTAATCCCATTCAGGCCTTGTCCTCCTCTTCTCCCCGGGGAGGCTGCAGGTGTTGAGAGAGCGGCTGCTTCGCTCAGGGCTGCACAGATTAGCTCTCGCCCTCGGGAGCAGCTCGCTCAGCTCGTGCTGGAGATAAGTGTGGCCGTGTCCTCCGGGCTGTCCAACCCCTGGCAGGGCTGTGACTACCCTCAGCACATGCAGGCTGTTCACCAAACACCTGCAGGTCCAGGGATGGAGAAACCGAGTCATTTTTGCAAGCAAATAGTCATGTTGTGTCACACTGAGAGCACTGGGGGTTTTTTGTGTGGTGCCTGTGAGAGCTCTGAGGCATCTCCAGTCCTGTGAAATCTTTCAGGGTAAGAGCCAAAGACATTGCTGTGACTCCAATACCATGTGCAGCACGGGGCTGATTGCTCTGGGCACGGGCACAGTTGGGCTCTGGTGTTGCTGCTAAAGCTGACAATTTCTAAACTCATTCAGCTTTCTCTGCTGTTTGTGGCTCTCTGTAGCTCACCCCTGATCTCCTGCAATAGACCCCCCCATCACTGGCAGTGGTACAATGGGGAGCATCACAGGGACAGCACGATGCTGAGACCTATCAGAGTGTTAGTAAAAGGGCTTAATGTGGAGAAAAGGAAGTCCTGCCCCTCCAGAGACCTTGTTGAAGAACCTGATCCAATTAACCTCGGAGGTGATTGATTACAGTGTTGTTGTGTGCCAGCAAAGAACCCAGGAATAGTCTCCATCAGCTGCCTTTCCCCTTGGAAAGCCCAACCAGACTTGCAGCCAAGAAGGGCTGGAGCAGAGCAAGGCTGAAGGAGTGTTGCCCATCCAGAAGTTTGACTCAAGCTGCAGGGACATCGTTGCATGGCTCCAGGTACCTTTCTTAAGTTGGCAAAGCTTCCTCAACACTCCCTCAAACTGCTTCTTCGATGGACCCAAGTGCCTCAGTGTCTCCAGACACCTGGTCACTGCTCTCCATGGGGTTTGTGTGAGGAGCTCATGGCAGGATGAAGCAGGGGGGTCTGGATGGCTTCTCTTGCACGTTGTAGCCTGGGTCTGGCAGGTTCCTGGGAAGGGTGAGGCTGCCAGAGCAAATACCTGCTGCGTAGAACAAAGTTCCTTGTGTGTCCCAGCTCCTGAAGGAGAGGTGTAGCTGAACCCAGTGTGAACCAAGCACGGCGGGTGGCTGTGCCCAAAGAGGGCACTGCCATGCCACATTCCTCCCCAGCCTTCCTCCCTTTCCAGAAAGTGGCTTCCCCAGCCCCAGCTGCTGTCTGGGAGCAGGGCTCTCCCCTGCAGAGCTCAATGGAAACAACAAACCTCAAGGATTTCTTGGAGGAAAATCATCTTGGCTCGTGATAAGGCTTTTTTTTTTTTTTTCTGAGGTGTAGCAATTACGTTAAATAAGAAGCTGTCACCAAAATGTCTGTTCTGCCTTCTGACAACCTGCTCTTCTCATGAGCTTAGGCAAAAAAAAAAAAAAAAAAGGCATAAATCAGATGTGCTTTTCCTCTTGTTTGCATTTCTTCCTTGCCTGGCTGCCTTGACTCCTCACCTGTAGGGAAAGCTGTGGGTTCATCCCACTGCTGAGGGTCCCCTGAGCTCAGCTAGAGCTGTCAGTCTGTTTGTGTGTCCCCAGCAGTTCCTCCTTCGTACCCACCCTAGGGTGGCTTCTGCAGGGAAATTCTCCTGGTTAAATCTTGCTTGCAGAGGGAGAAAACTGGGGAGAAATAGCTTGGGAAGCCTGTTCTGCTGTCAGGGAAGGGATCAGCATTCCGAGGCTGCTGCACTGCTCCATAGGAGGAAAAGCTTCAAACAGCAATTAGCCTGCACTGCCATTTCCAGGGAAACAGCTCTTGGTGAGCCGGACAATGGGCTGCAGGAGGCAAACAGGTTAAAAGCTCTAATTCTGGCAGGATATATTTAGGTGGGCTTTTTTCCTTTCAAAAGAAGGTAGGTTAGAAAGGCTCCAGCTCCTTTAAATAGACTCTCCTTCCGTACCCAGCTCGGAGCTGCGTCAGGAGCTCTGGCTGTTCCCTTCCACCCCTGGTGCTGCTGACAAGTGCCCAAAGCCTCAGCACTGGGGTGTCTAAAACCTGCCTTCCTGTCAGCAGCAGAGAGGCTGAACTAAAAGGATCTGGTTTCCCTTGGCAGCTGCCACAGGAAGAAGTTCTTTGCTGCTGCTCTCTGGTTATTTATTCTATTTGCTGAAGTGTGGCAGTGTAAAAGGTAATTTAGTCTGGGTTAGTGCAGCACAATGCAAACCAAGGCAGAGCCATGTTCTCCTGGCACCCTGCTCTCGCTGCTATCCCTAAATCCCTGAATGTCCCATGCCCCCTCTGATGGCATGGGTTGGGGCATAGGGGCAGCTGTGACCCACAGAGGGGAGCTGATGTCAATAAGCCACAACTATTGGCAGTGATCAGCTTTGGATGTGTGGGAATGAACGTGGAGCTCGTGTCCCAGCACCTCCTGCCAAGGTTGGCTCCACCAGTGCCTCCTGCTGCCTTTGGTGGCTGCTGGTGCTGCATCCTGGAGCCACTGCTCCTGCTGAACATCCTCGTGGTACTAAGTCCAAGATTATCACATTCTGGATGTTTATAAATTATATAGGAAAGAGGCTTCTTTCTTAATCCCCTGAGCTTTTTCATTCCTTCAGTGCGTTAGCTAATATATTGTTTAAGCTATATGTCAGCCCTGGTTCTTGCTTGCTGTGGATGAGGCTGGTTTTCACATCCTTCCTTTTCCCATCAACGTGTGACAGCTCAGGTAGAGCAGCTCTGTGATCAGCCCTGTAACATTCCCACTGCCCATGCAGACTGACCAGTACAGCTCTTCAATAACTTTGTTGTTCTTGCAAGCACTCTTTGCCCTGGATAAATCAGGCAGCACATCTTCAATCACAGGTAGTAGATAATGTGGAAGGAGGAGGTTATCACCCCAGGGTTTCCAGGTCTCCCACTCACCCAAAGGGGCTTCCTTACCTCCACCACAGTGGGATGCAGAGATGCTTGAGCGAGGAATTGTGCAGTCCAGAAGGAGCAGGGCTGCTTTGTAATCATCCCATCCTGAGAAGCACACAAATATTCTCTCCAGCTGCTGGGCTGCTTCTTGAGGTAGGTTGGTCAACGTTGGCCTTGCTGTCTAGGAGCTGTCCTGCTGGTGTGTGGGCTCTCACCCTGTGAACCACAAGCTGCTGACACACTTTGGCTGGTTGGGTGTTTTGTGCTTTCCCAGATTTGTGTTTTCCCTTGTGTGGGACAAGTTCTTTCCTTGCTGGAACAGTGCTGGGCTGGGCAGGCTGTGATCTCGGGCACGGTGCTCCTAGGCTGGTGTTTACAGAGGAATGAGAGGAGCTGACAGAAGCTTTTTCACATTCTTTGCTTTGGTGTAGCTTGGCCTACTCATTTCCCCAAATTTTTCTGCTCTTGGTTTACTTTTCTTGCTCCTGCCCATGGCAGTGGGGTTGGAAGCAGATGATCTTTAAGTTCCCTTCCAACCCAACCCATTCTACGATTCTATAATTCTATGGTCTCCTGGCAGCCATTCCTGTCTCCCTCTTCCTGAAGCCACTCTGAACTCCCTGCATGGATATCCTGGTCCTTCCACTGCTGTTCATGTCTGCTCCCTGCTGCTGTGCTTGGCCTGTTCTCTCCTTTCTGGTGCCACGAGCCCAGCAATCCTCTCCTGGTGCTCTCCTAGGCTGCACAGCTTGTTCCCAAGCACTGCTGGAAACCTTCCCCCCCCAGAGCAGAGCCCGCCCATGGGGGAGATGCTGTCAGGCTCTGCCCACACACCCAGCAGTGGGGTTTGATGTTTTCCCCCCTTCCCCAGAGCCGTGGGGAGGGCAGAGCTCTGCCATACAAGGGAGGATGATGAGGCTCCTTTTGTTCCCGTGGCTGGTGGGAGGTGACACCAAGGCCCCGGTGACTCAGGCGAGGGCTGTGCCGTGCCCTGAGCTGGCAGCTGTGCCCAGGCTTTTTGGAGGGGGCATGGTGAGAGGCTGCATCCTCTTTGGCTTCCCAGGAGGGCTCAGAGCAGGCTCCTGCACACCTGCCCTCCCTTTTGAAGGGTGGGGAGAATTTATTGCTAATTATTCATGTGGCTCTTGTGAGGTTTATTCTGACAAGAAGATCGCTATCTCTGCTTGGCTGTTGTTAGCACCTGTCTGTGCCCCATGAGCCTCGAGCCTCAGTGAGGCTCTCATTGCCCTCCAAAACCCCCTTGCCAAATTGCTGTGGGGTCAAAGTGAGCTTTGCCCTGGCAAAAAGGAGCCTCTGGCTCTGGGTCCTCTCCCCGTGGCTCCTTTTGGCCATGTTCAGCATGAGCAGTGTTTGTTGGCAGGGATCCCTCCCTGCACTGCTGTCTGTCTCGTGCTTGTTCCTGAGATGAACAAGCAGCACATGATGGTTTCTGAGATAAATCGGGTTCCCAGGTGTCAGGACAGAAGGAAAGGAGCTGGAAATCTGAGCTTCACCTGTCTGTAACTCATCCTGGGCTTTGCCAGAGCAAGACCTGGCTCTGTGCAGCTGCTTATCAGCTGCTGTGGTGCCCAAATTCCCTCTGCTGTGGAGCAGAGAGGTGGGAAAAAACCCTGGCAAACCAACTGTGCTTTCCCAGGGGAAACAGCGCTGGGTGGGAAAACGCTTGGGCACAGTTCTCCAGCTGTACCCGCTGCTGACTGAGCAGGGCTGGAGGGCTGGGAGGTGGTGCCTTGGCAGGGGAGATGTTGGCTGTCCAAGAGCTGTCCCTGTCCCTCATGTCCCCGAATGAATGGAGGACTGGCAGCTTTAAAACCCAGCTCTGGTTCCAGAACCGTGGACAGCGGGTCTGGCGCTGCCGCCTCCATTAGAAGGTGACTGGTTTAAACTGCTTCAGGCTTATCCACCACCAGTATTGCTGGCCAGCCTTGGGGACAGTGTGACTCAGGGTCCCTTGGAGAGGGGGGCAGCCTCCTGTCCCTCCCTGCCCATCCTGCCTCACAGGAGCACCCAGCCTGCTCACCCTGCTCGCTCGATTTGTTCTGGTCCGCATTAGTCGAGGATGAAGTCAGAGATATTTCTGGGCAGCGATAGGATCTCACCAGCCAGCTCTCCTTTAATAAGATCCCAGGCATTGGAGGTGCCCCATTCCCTTATCTCCCCTCTGCAGATGGATGTTGCCCCCCTGTCTCTCTCCAGACTGGGAGGAAGCAGCCAAATCGCTGCCACAACCCCTTCTCTAGCCCATAAATAAAATGGGAGGCTGGAAGCTGAAGGAAGGCATGAACACAGCACTGCCCATGTTTCTGTGGCTTCCCAGGGCCTCCTGGAAGCTGTCTCATGAAAAGGGAATGTCCCTAGCCAGGGAAGTGAGTGTCAGAGCATGTCCCTTGGCCAGAGTGGCCACTGTGAGCCAAAAACGTGGAAAAATAGATGGAAAGAAGGAATCAACAGCACTTCATCCAGTACAGAGCCTGGAAAATGTATAAATTGTGAAGGGAAGGAAAAGATGGGATGAGAAACTTCAGAGGAATTACTAGCAGCGAGGAGGAGGAACTGATTTTTAGCATATGAAAAGAAAAAAAGGTGGGGGAAAAAAAGTTTTCAGCAATGCTATTGGAATTGGAAAAGCCAGGTGTGTGGAGAAGGGAAAATGCCTTCAGCCCACGTGATAGTGACCATGTGGGAATCTGTCTCCATTCCTGCCATGGTCAAGGGCCCCATCAGCAGCATTTGGGGAGTGCAGGGGGCTCAGGGTGGGCAGATCCCCCAGCTCCTGCCCTGGGGCTGGGGAGGAGTGAGGAGCAGCAACCTGGATCAGCCTGAGCAGTGCAGGAGCTGAGCTGCTCTCCAGGCTGTGTTCCTGGGAAGTGGTCAATGAAGGTTTTGTGGGAGGTTATATAATGATTGACCTTACAGGAACGGGTGTGATCGAGGCCCAGGGCCAGCTCAGCTCGCAGCTGGGTCAAGCTGTGGTGCTGATATCATCACTGTTTAGAAATTTATACTTTTCTTCGATCAGAAAGTCTTCAGCTTTACACCCTGGTTTGGAAATCGGTCTGGGCTGCAGCTCTGTGCCATCCCTCTGTTTGATGCAGATGAACCCACACCTAACTGCCTTTAAAATCCCCTGTTGCTATGACAACTCCCCAAGCTTGATGCACTCAGTGCTGTCTCTCCGCTCCCAGGTCTTGCATCCCCACCAGAAGGCTGTGTGTGTACCTCAGTATGTACATGTGCCTGAGTCCAGCTTTCAGAGGTGGTTCATAATCCCCTTGGAGCGTCAGTGGAATCTCTCCCGAGCTGGTGAAGGGTTTACTTGGAAGGTCTGATAAGGAGGTTAAGGAGAGGCCAGCAGCCGCTCACCCTGAGCGCTCCGACAGCTAAACTTAGCCCCTGAGTCACTAATGAGTCAGCAATTCAGGGGCAGGAAATCTTCATTTCTCTTTTCTTTATGGTTTTTAGACAGTGATGCACCCCAAGCAGGATCCAGGTTGGATTGATTTCAGTCCTAATCCAGCATGTTACCTGCCTGCAGTCCTTTCCCCTGGAGCATCCTTGAGCCAGTCCAGAAGAGCGAGCTCCTTCCTCTGACACCTGCCATGACAAGTGCCTGTCCACAGACCAAACAGCCTCCTTTCCTGTTGTTAGTGGCCCAAGACATGGAAAACTCTGCCTGGTCAGCAAGATTTCTTGCTAGGAAAGTCCTTGTGGAGGCTGTGGGCAGGTAGAGCATCCCTGGAGCTGCTTGGAAACAGGACAATGAGTGAAGGTCCATCCAGATGCTCTTCTCCCAGCCTGAGTGCTGCAGCACTGCCAATAGCAACAGAAGTGCTCTGAAAAATCCATGTGAGTGTTAAAATAACCAACATCAGGAGATCCAGATGTGCTGAACCTCCAGAGCTGCTCTGTGTGATCCCCAAGCCTCCTCCAGACCAGCCTGTCCCTGTGCTGTACCTGCCACCAGCCAGCCCTCCCCAGAGGACCGGCAGGATCTGAGGTCCCTGGGAGCTGCAATGGAGTGGGATCAACCAGAGATCCATGTTGTGCCTGCTAGACACCCTTTCCTAGGATGGAGCAGGCTGGCCAGGCAGCTTCTCACAGTCCCCAAAAAATAAATCCTGGAAGCAGAGTCCCCACTGTCAGCTGGCTGTATCCATTTGTGTGAGATCCCACTGAGTGTGTTTTGCATAATTTGTTTCCCAGAATTAAGTGTTTTACAACTGCAGTGTTTGATCACCTTGCAGAAGGGGATGATAAATCATCCCCATGCCTGGGGCTGGGAAATAACAGGAAAGGAATCTGGAGAAGGGACCATGTGCTCACCACATCCTGTTAGCTGGGCTGGAGAGCCCAGAAGAGCTGGTGCGTGTGCTGGCAGACAGCCTGGGACTGGACAGGAGCTGCACGGACATGGCAAAAAGCCCACGCTGAAAACACCAGGCGTGGAGATGTCTGAGTGGAGCCAAGCCCCAGCATCCTGCCCGGGAGCTGGAGCTGCTCCCAGCTCACTGTGCCTGCCCGACACCTGATCCAGGAGCTGCTCCCAGGCTCTGCACAGGACCTGGCCCTTCCTCGAGGCAGAGGTACCTCTACTTTGCTTAGGGATTGGTGGTGAGCCACCTTCTTCCCAGCACCTGGGGATAAATCAGTGGCTTGTTGGACCATGAAGGGCACAGCGAGCGATGGCTGCTCTGGGGGTGATGATGGGTGTTGGGCTGAGGGGCTGCCCCTCTCACTGTCATTTTTTTTTATTCACAATAGGTGAAGGATGAAAGATCAGAGTAATGGCCATGGATACAGCATCCACTTGACTTCTCTTGCCTGTGGCGGGGGCGATTAATCTAGTTAAGGCATTGCAGTGAGGTGAGACCATGAGGTTACACAGCCCAGGAGCTGAGGATGGTGCTGAACCAGGAGCTGCAAGGTGTGTTCCCCCTCCCTCTCCCTGCCTTGCCTTTGATCTGCTGCCGGTGGGGGATATTGTTCCACGTTGGGAGCCGGTTCAGCCCAGGCTGGCGGAGCAGCGGGATCGTCACCGTTACTAATGAGCTGTTTGCTGCTGGCTGCCTGCACAGCAGTGGGTACTCAGTGCTGCCCAAGACCTGTGCTGATAAACCGAGTGGCTTCCCCCTGCTGCAGGCCTGTCACCCACTCCCTCTTATCTGAAGGATCTCTCCTCCCACTGCTCCTGCCTCTTCCACAGTGAAACAAGCAGCTGAGGTCTGATCCTGCTGCTGGGCGGTGTAAAGTTGAGGGCGACTCTGACTGTTGCTGGTCTCTGCTCTGAGGTTGGGGCAGGGCAGTGGGCTACAGGAGGCTGCTGGCCACCCGTGTGACAAAGGGCGTGGCTGTCACCTTCATGGAGAGGGTCTGAGCCTTGCACTGTGCTCAGGCAGATCCGGGAGGAGACCACCCT